CACACACACACAAAGAACTGATCCGAGATCTGCAGCCAAAGAGGCGCACAGACGACGAGGGCGATCATAACGGAGATAGCGCAAATCTTCAGCTGAATGAGCTGCATGTCGGGGGCTTTTGCTCTTCAATGTAACGCGAAGATCAAACTGCAAAACGTGTGTCATCAAAGAAAGGAGGCATTGTGACCCTGTATTTAACGTGAGCTGGTTATTATAGGTGTGCAATTGTAGAAATCCTACAGAGGAAGAGGGAATTCAAACACATCTTAAAGCAGACATAAATAGCACACTTTAAGTTTCTAATATCACAGACTGTTATACGAGATTATTAGCCTACTTGAACAGGTTATTAAAGTGTTTTTCATGCATTGCATACTTTAATGGATCTGCATGCATCCCAAAACATAAGAAGCCTAATCCTATCATGAATTTAAGCACGATATAAATAGGCCAGGAAAACACTAGAAATGCCTCGGTGCAACAGGAAGCCAACATAAAAACAGCAGAAAGTCTTAGAGTGTGTTATAACACACTCACCGCACTGACACACACTTTAAAGCAGCAGTTATTACTAACACACGCGTGTCCTCCAGCAGGTCACTTGCTCTCCACTCACCCCAAAAACACTTCGCCTTCCCCCCATCGGAAAAACCAAAACAACCCGGAGAGAGAATCTGTTTCTCCGCTGGAGCTGCAGGAAGTGTGGATGTTAGGAGGAAAAACAAAAAAAGAAGAAAATAAAAACAAGACACCTTCACCGTCCCATAAAGGTAGCAGCAGCCTGCCTAGGTCGGGCCGAGTGCCATTCAAACAAAGTCTCAAAAAACATCAAATCTCCTTGGAGGATCTTCACTGCGTTCATAAACCATAGACTATCTGCGCTACACCGTGAGATCTGCGGGGTCTCTCCGTGGGTCCGGTTCGAGTACAGTCCCCTCCGTGAGGTGGGTCACAGTGTGTGCATGTTGGAGCAGCTTGCAGCTTTCCAAAGGCTTTTAACCTCTATGCCTTTAGCTCTCCGACATCAGCGGCAGGACAGGCCGAGCTGTCCCGTCTGCGGCCTTATTTATACTGAACCCTAATGAGCTGTGTGATGCGCAGCGCGCTTTGAATAATGCACTCACACATTCACCAGCTCGGATCTGCAGCACGACGCTGTCCGATCGGTTCAAACCTCTCTCCTCCCGTTGGGATGAGCTGCGAGAGCTGATTTAGGTCTAAAAACACCTAAAGTGTTTTAGGTGTAAAGTGGAGAAAAAGTGGGGTTTTATTTCCATCTAACAGTGCTGCCTTTGAGTGCGTCTGGAAAGAAGAGTGTTAAGAATCGAGCGCCCAAGAACAACAACGTGGACGATGCGTTCACAACTTCATCATTATTATCGTCCCACAGAAAATGGAAGAGTTTAAAGCCAACACAAATCACAGGAACACACTGGCGTCCGACAGCAAGCATCTAAAACATTCAGCTATTCAAAATGCATTCAAACACTCGATATAAAATGACAAAATATTTCCACACAAGGCACAACTTACTTGTTTTTGCAGCTTGCGGCCACATCTGGATATCTTCCTCTGTGTATCCAGTTGTTCAGTTGTCATTGAGGTGGTTTAGTTTGGTTTTATAGACAGGAAGCATTCAACAAGGAACAAAAACAATGAACAGAATATCTAGTCTACACACTTTGTTTGCAGTTTCTCAGTTTTCCAGGGTTGAAAAGTATCGATTTTCTTCGGAGGGCTATTTTAAGCTTTAAAGTACGTTTGGAAACTTGAAATACAATTGGTCACGACATCGCGTGGATTTATTTATTTATTTATTTATTTATTTATTCTCGGGGGTGAAGGCAGAAATCATGGACGCCATGTCAACAGCTGATGCACTGTTTACTAAGTCAATAACTACCACTTTCTTATGTTTGTTTTCACTGTTGAGCTCAAAAAGATGTAAGACGGAGTCTGCTGGATGACATTCAGCTGCTACCTTCGACCAAAACAACCAAACGCACATGTATTCATCTTTAATAGATTTTCAAAAATGTTGATCTTTGGAGAGGTACGTGAAGGCAGCAGTAGCCTAGCTACACAGTCGGTTCTACAAATAGCGTCCAATCAGTGAGAAGAAGAATCTTGGCCTGACCAATCCGCGGCGACGGAGGGCGGGGCTAGAGGTCCACAGCCAATCAACCAGAGGCCAGACTCTGCACAGCGCGCCCCCGCGGCTCAGGGTTGTTTTTGGCTGTGCGCGCCACCGACACAGACGCGTGCCAAAATCTAATACCCCATGGCGCGCATGCGTGACTGCATTGCAAGCACGTGGTCAAGAAGCGCAAGTAAACAAACCCCCCCCCCAAAAAAAAATCAATACAGTTGATTGACGTTTTAATACTGGTGTTTACTGTAGTTTTATCATATATATTTATGTCATGGTTAAAATATATATTTATTTTAAATCATATTTTATAAAACAGTTGAATTATTTATTAAGTTGACTTAAAAAATATGTTTTTAAATCTAATTTTGATGTTTCCTTTTTATCCACTTTGTATTTATTTTGATTTATTATCATGGATTTGTGAAGTCCATGTTTTGTGTTAATGTAGATTTAATAGGTTGATAAATGTATATTAACCCTTCTTTAAAAAGGAGATGTTTAGATGACTGCACTGTAATTCATCCATTATTGTGACAGGATCACGTTCACATTCATTGGAACTTTTAAAATTTAATAGAGTTTTGACGTTTTCTGGCCTGTACAAAAATGAACGACATTAATTTATGAATCAAATTGCTGAGTGGACAGAGGAGAGACTGCAGTAGGTGTTATCAGACAGTACGACAGCGCCCCCTAAAGGACACTGTGGCATTAAGCGCCTACAATACAGTGAGTGACACTTTTCAATCTGTTGTTGTTCCTTATGCATTTCTGTTTTAGCTTTAAAACATAAAATCCTTGCTGATTCCTCTTCATTCATTTTCACTGCACCGTATATGATTTAAAACAGATATTTAAAAAAAAAAAAAAAAAACTTACATTTTCTTTTAATTTAATACATTTCAAACTTAAATTTAAAGTTTAAAGGACACATTATAAACCTCTATGACCAATTAACCAAGTACATTTCTTAAAGTACTGTACTCAAGTATTTCCTTTTGATGCTACTTTATACTTCTAGTCCGCTACATTTCAGACAAATACTGAACTTTTTCCTCCACCTTCATTTATTAACTTCAGTCTCTAGTTACTTTGCAGACTCAGATTAAAAAGGGTTTGGGGAAGTTATTGTCATACATTTTAAGGAATATTTCTACATTTGGGAAATACACTCAATGGCTTTTTTGTCAAAATGTGGTTGAGATCAATGCCGCTCTCCTATCTGTATGGTAAACACGAAGCTTCAGCTACAGGACGGTTAGCTGAGCTTAGCGTAAAAAGACTGGAAACGAGGAAGCAGCTTCCTTAAGTGTTGTTGTGCAGGAAGTCACTGCTCCCGGCTAGGAAATAGTCCAGCACACAGCCTTCCATACAACCACAATGTGTAGTTTTCACACTTAGGTGTTGTTTGTTACCTGTACAAAAAAACCGAACATTCTTTTTTAAGCTTTAGAGGTGCTAGAAGTGGGGTTTTTCTAGCTTTGGACAGAGCCACGCTGGCTGTTTCTCCCTACTTCCAGTCTTTTTAGTAAACTAAGCTAACAGGCTGCAGCTACATGTTAGGCATACAGACCGTAGACTGCGTACAGGTGTGAGAATGATATCGATCTTCTCATCTAGCAATAACAGCCACACTTCATGTTTTTAGAGTAATACACCATTTTTATTTAGAATGGTCACTCTTCTCATTAAACACATTTAATTGTATATCGTGTTGCTCCAAGAAACTTTTTATTTTGCAAATATCTATGTAATGATAGATGTTAACAGCAGTTAAAGAAGTTGTCTCTAATGCTTCTGAAATCTGGGTCGTGTTTTCCTGGACTCTCACAAAGAGACTTCACAGAGATGTTAATGAAGGTACAGTGTTTTTAATGAACGTCTATTTAAATGTAATGGCATAATTGCAAAAAAAAAAAAAAGAAAAGAAAAGAAAAAAAGAAACATTAAAAAACAGATTTCAAAGTGGCAGTCAGTCTTTAATAATAGCAAAGAAATGTTTCGTTCAAGTCAAATCCTTCACACGACAGCAAAATAAAACTGACCGATCAACTCAAACAATTTCTATGGCAGGTCAAACAGGAGCCTTTAAAATACAACCAAGGATCTTATTTTTTTTTCTCTTTCAGAAATGTTAACTACACAATTAAAGGTTTATACTGATCAAAACATACAGAGTGAAGTATTTCCACTGGAGACAACTCAAACAAGATTAGTGTCTGATAGAAACATAACATTCATTTTACAATAAAAATATCTGCACAAAAACATCAAAAAAGAAAAAAAAATAGGCTCAAGGAAAAAGGGTAACGCAAAAAATATAAATGTTTGCTTTTCATCTTTTCAATACAGTCACAAATCACACAGCTGTGGCAACAAATCTTTTTAAAATTTACACAACTGAAAGATAAGGATACCCACCCGTGATCCCTCCCATCCCCTGACTTGATTGTGTTCATTTTTAAGAGCATATACTGCGATTACAACGGATTCCCGACTAAACAAAAGCTGCACATCAAATCTTGGATATCAAGACTATCAAAAAAGGCACAAACAGACAGGTTGCACAAAGAACTCAGCAGAAGCTTTTTTTTTATACAACTAATCCCAGTAAGGTTTCCAGTGCCCTTAATGTTCTAACTAAACCCCAAAAAAAGACTATCTACAGGTAAGTCAAGTCCCGGCAGGCACCTCGGATTACAAGTCCCATCCCAACTACTGTAGAAGCAAGTGCATTTAATAATCGTGTGACAGATGGGTGTACACAGCGGGTGTGAGGAGTACTGGGACAGTCGAGTCTTTACCTCACGTTAAACGTCTGCTCAGGTGAAATTTGTGAGTGCAAAAACTGTCATTTCTGCAATGGAGTTTTGGTCATAAACTTTTTTTTTTTTCAAATGTAATCAGATAAGTTAAATCTCTGTTGACAGAACCAACAAAACCACTTTTGGCGGTGAACTTTCTGGTATTTTTTTTCGTAGCAGCTTCTTTTTACAGGTCTGTTATCTCCTAATATTTCTACATTGTTAACAATTTTGATAAATGGTTCATTGTTTAAGACATGTATCACAGTAAGATTCTAAATATTTGCTATTTTACTCTCTTTCATATCATTGTTAACTTAGTATCTCTGGGTTTTTGGACTGTTAAAAAAAAAAAAATATCTGAAAGCTCTGGAAACTTTTTCTTTAGACCAAACAATTAATCCATTAATCTAATAACAAACCCTAAATAATCATTGTAGCCCTTCTAAACACTTGTCACATGATTTCTATAGTACATATATATATATATACTACTATATATAGTCGGGATATACCATATAATTTACTAACTATATAATATATATATATATAGCTATACATATACCCACACGTTGTATATATACATAATATATACATATTCATCAAATTTACCTAAGGAAATCATCAAGAATTTACAGACCTGTAAAATATTCCACAAGACACATTTGTTGCAGGCTAGTTATCTTACTTGATTACAGATTAATATGTATTGACCAGCATCTGAAAATCTTGCTTTACATCCAGTGCTTTTAACTTCTAGTCTGGCTGCAGTGATGTAAAAGTGTACTCCAGGGTGTGTCAGTACACCGTGACATCGCTGTTGGGTGTGGTCAGAGGTGCAACAGACTGACTGACTGACTGATTATGGCTTGAGTGAATTTCAGAAGTTAGTTAGAATCCTCCCTTAGTCCCTACTTTCCCCCTCAGTTTCAGTCTGACATTATTCAGCCAGAAGAAAAGAAAAACACAAAGTAAAACTGTGGTTCTTTGGCTCTGTCCACTGGGATTTAAGTCGACCGGAGCAGCTCTGCCCTCAGAAATGCTCAACTCAAACTTGCTTTTTGACATGTATGCAAATGTAGAATACCAATCAACAGTTGAGTTTAACTTCACTAATCCTCTGACAGAAATGTAGTTTACAGCTCGGCTAATACTTTTGTCACAGATCACATACATCGTTGTCGTCACTGGAACAAATAAAAAAAAAAAATCAGCCAAAGCAGCTCGATGCTCCTAAAATGGTCTTATTTTAGGTTGAAGACTCTGAAGGCTCTAATGTATCACTTTAAGTGCCAGTGGAGAAAGATTCTTGAAGAATTCATTCAGGTAAGATCTGCCTTCCGATTAATCTACTCTGAGATGCTTTAGTGTTGTAAATAATACTACTTTGTTTCATTCATTAGGTCACTCACACATTACCAAATGAGCTTTTCTTTTGAAGTTGCAGTACTGTAACCGAACAGAAAGGGCTAGGTGTAAAATGAGTATAACTGAGGCCCACTTGTAAACAAACAGAAAAGACAGACGTTAGACGCTGCAGTGATACTGAACTAAAATGACACGGTTGGTTGATGAAGCCTCGGTGCTTCTGGCTTGTTTTTCTTACAAAGTTTCCACAAATATAATCTTTAAAGTCATAATTCCTTTTGCTTGAAATAGAGTCGATGAATTCAACAGTCTTAAATCAGTGGTTGACAAGAAGTGAAAATATGGTGATAAATTCTACTGCAGCCGTCTGCTGGTACTGACACTGCCAACTGTCATCGGCGTGATAATGTGCAATTTGTAGCAAAAAATGTTCCAAAGGATGAAAAGTAAAACATGATCTGTTACATTTGAGTATCATTTCAACTGTATCACGCCTGGATCCCATTTATCAGGCCCAGGAAACAACACGTTTGGTGTTTTTTGTGATATAAATACAGATATATGGTTATTCTCCTATTTGCAACCATAACAAGACCTCTTAGCATGCAGATGGAGTTTGGCTAAAAACAAGGAGATCGAAGTCTGTAGACTTTAACACCAATGGAAACAAAATGAAAACAGACGAAGAGAATGCTGAAGCAAAAGAAACAGGACAAAAAGCACCATGTGATTGGGAAGTGTGATATACCACAAAAGGTAGAACAGAAAGAGCCTGGGCGCTCTCCCAGCGGATCTGCCCGGCTTGTGTGGCACTTAACATCATCGTCTTTGTATACAGAGCTTATAACAGTCATGCAAAGGGCACAGTATTATTCTAACAAGGCGAAAGAGAGATTAACAGAGACTGAAGAAGAAAAAGAAAAACATGAAACAGGACGAAAAGGGAGGCATGACAACATTTCCTCCACATGAAACGAGTGGTGACAACTGAATTCTTGTCCTGACGCAGTAAATTTTCCCCCATATGAAAAATATCATACTGTACATACAGACTTGTATGAAATAAACAGACCTTTACTTTAGTTTCTCATGGCTAAGGCAGAAATTGATGGCGAAAACCGTTCAATGCACCTGTAATTTGGTGCTTTCATACACAACCTGACATCTTACTGAAGCCAATGAGAAATGAAAACGGGCATTTTTAGTTTTTAATAAAAGGAAAAAAAGATTAGAAATGTATCTGATTCACCTTCTATAATCACCCTTGCCATTGAAATATTCTTAAGACTCTTTGGGCTATATATATGTATATATATATATATTTATATATATTTGCATTTGGGACTGTGTCTGTGTGTGTGTGTGTTAAGGAAATACAAGGTCTTTGTTAAAATATAGATCCTCATCAACACAGAGTGATGGCTTGTGGCCTGCAAAGTCTCTGGCTGATTATGTGATTTCATTGCATAAATCAGTTTATTTAATTCAGGTTTTTCTTTTTTCAAAAGTGATAGAGAGAAAAAAGATAAGAGATCAAGGTGTCCCTTGTAACAGTGCGACAAAAGGTTAGAAAATTCAAAAGACCTCTATGATGGATGATTCTTAAAAGTAATCTACCATTGTTTGTGCAATGTAGGCAGAGTTATAACCACGACAGCTGCACCAAAAAACACAACAGCTAGTCTATCACTGTCATTCAACTGGACATAAAAGGTCTTGAATAGGAAATAGCCAGAGCCAAACGCCTTTTGAGACACACAAAAAAATTGTTTATCTTGGCTTAAAACACAAAATCACCCCCAAACTGTAAGCTGTGATGTGAGCCCCCCTCCCCCTCGCCTCAGAGAGAGAAAAAAAAGGTAACAGAAAGAGAGATAGAGGATGATTGATTGATTGATTGATTGATTGATTCCTGACGCCATTCCTGAGCAAAGTGGACTTGACGAGTGAGACCCAAGGAATCCAGGTGATGTGGTCAACAGGAGAGGAAAATAAAAAACCAAAACCAAAAAACCCATCACAGCAACAGTGTGGAGGCGGGGAGGAGCAGTGGCAATGCAGGAGCCAGTCCACAGAATCATCTGGGGGGGGAGAAGAAACAGTGACTGTGTGATGAGCTGTCACATCTTTGATTTCCTCTTTATTTGAAGTAATACTTAAATGCACAAACATATAAATGTGTATTCTGCTATAATGTATCATTGGTTGACATAACACCTGTAGCAGGCAGGGTTGCCAGTAGTCATTTGCATTTTTGATCCAATTTCAAGTTGGTAAAACAACAAAATGATTCAGTACCAAGCTGCTGAACCCCCAATACTAACATGAGGTTAATGAAAAATACATTTTCTACACTGTCCAGTGAAGCACCTCGAGAGTAGGAGTGAGCCTGTGTGTGCAGCACATGTGCAACAGGTGCTAAACTGGCTAACACAGTAGGAGGTTCTGCTGTCTGCTGCTTCATATCAAAATCTTCCACCCCTTGTCATTCTTGTTCTCCACTGCCTTTCACTGAATATTGAGCACTTATCATTATTCATTTGGCACATATATATTTCTAATATTGCTAATATTTCTTTGCTTCTGTCTTTAATTGTTTTAAAATGGTTGATAGCCTTTTACATTTGTTTTTAAATCTTTCCTGTTTTAAAATGCACTTTGAAGGGCCTTTGTGTATGAACTATGCTATACAGTAAACTTGCCTTGGCACTGACCCGATCATCTGATGTGAAAACATAATAGTGATTCTCCTTTAGTTTCTGAGCTGAAACAGCAGCCTGGAGCCAGACCTCCAAACAGCCACACAAATGTCTGTTCATCCATTCAGTTAGTGAAGGAATGAAGTCTGATTATCAGGCCACTGAACATCTGACAGCATTATTGCCTCTGTTCTGGTGAATTTAACTTTAATGTGAGTTAATCATGTACCTCATAATTAAATAGACTGTTCAATAGGCAATTATATTGAACTACTAGTACACAGAAATATGTCCATATTTCCATCTGCCTCTAGACAAAACAAAGTGAGATTTATCTGACAATTTTTTTTTACAATAAAGCTCAAAGAATATTGCCTAGAAACAAATGTATTAGTAGTGGTGGATGTTGGCGTAATGTAGACATCAGCCTGACCTCTGACCTCTTCCTGTTGAAAGGTATAAACGTCTTAACTAGAATTATTGTGGGTTTTCAGGCTCGTTGCACTAGTGCTCCGTACAGGTCGACCCTGTGCTGGGAAGCATTAGCTGAACATGGGTGATGGGGTATTGGGGCATTTCTAGTTGCTCTGTCTTGGAATGAAGAAAATGTGACGCCTACAGAGACTCGTAACTACAGCACTACTAGTGTAAACCACACTGTTAGAGTGAGAGGTGACCGCCACAGTGCAGAACACTTTCATTTAAGATTGAAATAATGACACTTGTATTCAGTTACAAATGATTATGTAAGGACATCCCAACCTATTGTATTTAAGTAATAAATGTCTCATTAACTCTGGCTTCTACTTTGACCCCCTTAATGAGAAACGGCTGCAAACTGTTAATGGTTTATAAAGTTAAATATACATTAACAGGAGTTACAGGCACTGAAATAAGGTTTGAAGAAACACATTTTAAAGCTGCAAAGAAGGTTACCACTGCAAAGAGCAGTGATGTGCTTTCTGCTGTTCTAATTTAGGAGATGTCACACTCTGTTCCTTTTCAGTAAACCCATGTTATGCATCGAAATGCTGTAGAGAAGAAACACAGTAATTACACAAAGCGGATGATAGGCTATAAAATGTAGTACTGATAGTTATTATCACAGCAAGAGGCCTGTCAGGGAGCAGCTGGTGGCTAGCAGACATTAGGAGGGAAAAGACACCACATCTTAGGAGTGTCATTACTTTGGGAAATGATCACGTTATCTTCTACTGCTCCTTTTAATAGTACAATATGCTTCCAAAAGAAGCAATATTAAATGCTTATACAGACAATGTCACCGGTATAGTGACATTTTGTGCTTCCGGTTAACATTGGCAAAAATAACCTCTGTCATCCAAAACATTTAAAAACCATTTGGTTTCCCCACCAGAATGACATTCTTACATTAAGACTAACAAGTGACACAAAGCTCTTAACTCAAAACAGAGTTTTTACTAGAGCTTTTTAAGTATTTTTTATAGGATTTGTATTTGTTGATGACCTAGCTAGCAGCTCCCCTAAACACACAACAGCCCACTGCACTTACTGTAAACTGTGACACATTACATCCCTTAAAGAAATACTTTAAGCGAACATAAACTGTGTTTGTGTATATCGACGCTCAAGTTAGATGCTAGTCCTGCACCCACAGGCTGCATTACAACTTTAAAATATCTAAAGATCAAGCACAAATGTGGGACTCTTTAGGTTTTGCTTTGGGTGCAAACTGACAGCAATGGAGCAGAATTCTACTTGGTGGTTTACAGTACCTTTGAAGTTTAGATAGATGGCTTTTAAAGTGGTTTTATCCTGGTGAAGAACCTCTACTTCACTCTACAAAAGCAAAATTTACATCTATATAATAGTGTACTCTGAGGTCTTTACTCAAGCTCTTGAGTGGTGGGTTGTTAAATTTAGTACAAATGAATCAGTAGTTTTTATGTTTTAAGTTGTTTTCATGATGGAAACTCAACTATACAGCATTTTTAAAGCAGCAGAGGCAGAAACATCCGACTGTGTCAAGGATCACCCTGATCTTGTTGACCATGAAAAGTTGGTTATTTCAAGACTTCAGGGCAGCGACTGGTAATATTGTTCCGTCCCTGTAGATCTGTCCCTCCCTGAGTTTATGCAGACTTACCCGTGTGAGATGTTAGGACCTAAATCCAGGCTGGAAACGTGCAGTTTCTTCAAAGATGAGCTCCTTCAGTGTCTCTTTGGGTAGGTCATCCAGCTCCATGTCAAACTTGAATGGGGCCTCAGCAACCGGCTACACAGGGAAGCAGAGAGGACATACTGATGTGACAGCTAAATCTACCGCACCAGCCTGTTTAACAAATGCTCACCGAATTTCAGTGATGACAAAATGTAAAGAATAGTGAAACATTGTGTGGTGTCATTCCAAACAGGCCCATATAGCACAAGCTGACTGTCTCACCTCATCTGTGGGGTCGTAATATTGCTCCAGGTAGGGGTGTGCCAGGGCCTCCTCCACCTCGATTCTCTTGTGAGGGTTAAAGGTCAACATCTTGTCCAACAAATCCAGAGCTGAACATTTAACAGGGAAAAGAAGGAGTTAAGTGATTCTGAGCTTGGAGTAAGGACTGAGCTTGCCAGCCCACTAGAGGGCACCATCACACCCTCTACGCTGTTTGGATTATTTCCAGGTAGAAAACTATGACACATTATTTTATAAGACATTACTGATTTAAGGAAATTCCAAGCCGACTTATTTGTTGAGCCGATATAATCTAGTTATGTAGCTTGAAATCACAATAGCACAGGGCAAAGTGCATATAATCTATGTAAATTGACACTCCCTTGTCTGCAGTACAGCCTCTTAAAAGATTCATGATATTCTATGAACTCCATGATCAATGGGAACTGTGTGTGTTGATGAAGAGGTAGTCCTGGCTCTGACCTTTGGGATCAGCGTTGGGAAAGAGGCGGTTCCACGGCACTTTGCAGCGCAAAGGCAGTGACAAAAGATAGTTCCTGGCCTTAATGTTGATGATGCAGTTGAGATCCTCCTGAGACGGAGAACCCAGGATCCCTGAAGAGAAGATTATAAAGAATTACCTTGTGATTTTATATATGACAGTTGTATGTACAATGTACAACTCTAAATGAAACACTGTCTACTAATTCACACAGCCCCAGCTTATAGTTTTTAGTTATATAGGGAAGTTTTGACAGTCTGAGTGCACAACAAAAATGACAGATGGGAGAAGCAATATGTGGTCTAGCACGAAGACACAAAAAGTACGACTTGATAAATGCATATTAACAGGTACAGTATCTATGGACTGGCACCAGGAAGCTGTTGCTACTGACAGACTGTGAGAACTTTACGAAGTCTGTATAAAAGATTAAATACTACAGCACTACACAAGTTGTAAAACACTGGATATGAAGAGAATTATTACCCAAAATGTGGTTAAGCTGATCCAAGTAGTGCTTCCCGGGAAAGATTGGCCTGTTGGACAACATTTCTGCCAGGATGCAACCCACTGACCAGATGTCTATGGACTTGGTATAGCCCTGAGAGTGAGGAGCACAAAGACACAGTCATGACTACAAGTATATCTAAAAGAGGAAGAAGACACTTTTAGTATTCCCAAATGAGTACAATCTTTTTTCACTTTCCTTTTATTGTTTTGTTTGTTTTTTCACACAACAAACAGTATTAAGTATGGTAGAATTAATCACTACGGCAGTGTTAGGGCCACATTCTTCAAACTGTTTAAGAAATATATAAATATATATTATGAACTGATTTTTTTCAACATTTTACAGCAGGTGAGGACACTCACCTTGGAGTTGAGCATGATCTCAGGTGCTCGGTACCAACGAGTGGCTACATACTCTGTTAGGAAACCAGTGTGATCATGGTCGGGATCAGCCACACGAGCCAAACCAAAATCACAGATCTGCAGAGAGAAGAGTGACAGTGACTGCAATATTAGAAGATACAAGATCAAAATAAGCTGGATGTCATTTCATTAATAACTTAAAACCTTCAACAGATTGGAAACATGTCCAGTAAGTCACTGGATTTCTTTTTTGCTAATAAATTCTTCATAGAAATAAGTTTATGAAGCCCAGTCAATCTCAATCGTTAACTTCTCTTTGAGACACTACCTTGAGATCACAGGTGGTGTTGAGCAGGAGGTTGGAAGGCTTCAGGTCGCGGTGCAGGACGTTGGCAGAGTGGATGTACTTGAGCCCTCGTAGGATCTGGTAGAGGAAGTAGCAGATGTGGTCGTTGCTCAGGTGTTGAGTTTTCAGGAGCTTGTACAGGTCTGTCTCCATGAGATCCTGGACAATATATCTGCACAGCACCAGGTTAAAGAAACTTCTGCTTTAATATCATTGAGACCGCACTCCGTGTCTTTGATGCTTATGTTATTTTTTTATTTTTTATTTTTTTATGCATAAATTTGTCCTGTCAATATGAGTCACATTTTTTCACTGTCTAGACCACATAGTGATGTTCCAAAAAAATAAGATCTCTAGATATCCAATAGGGCTGGGCAATCAATGAAAAATTAACTGAAACATAATGACTCTCTAACCGACCTAATTTTAGTCATATCAATATGTCCAATAAATTCCTTCGAACAGGCTGCTGCCGCCTACACCTCAAGTACAACAAAGTCATAAAACATGATTTGATTATTTTTTTACTGCCCTGCACTAATATTCAAACTACATTTAGTTTTTTACTGGCACACTCAAATTGGATTTTGTTAGCATTGCAAAGAAAACAAAATACCTTGCATCATTTAGCTGAGACAATTATCTTGAGTTTGGCGTTACAGCAGGCTGGCAGAGCCACGGAAAGACAGCCACACTGTTGACTTGATTAGTATTTTGGGAAACCTCACAATTCAGTGAAATCTCAAAGTCCCTGAGGTGTCATGGTGGTTAAACGAGCTGGTACTCTTGTAGCTACAACGTACTGAAACAACATCTGGCCCATGTGTGCCTTCACCTAACTTGGTGAAAGTCTGTGTAGGAGAGATATTTTATCTTGAAGTGTTTATTGTTGTTTTTTTTGGGTGAATGCTCATTTTATCTGGCAAGCAGGAAATGAGTTGATTAGCTGTGGGCTTAAGTCACAGCCACTTATTTTTAGGTAAGGCAGAGTGTAAAACTATACAAACTGAATTATAAAAGTGACAGCAACTATTGTCTCAAGCAGTTTGCTACTGTTGTTGCTGCTGGGCTACAGTGAAGAGCCTCTCTGCCAAATATATGGTGACAGGTGGCTATTATGTAATAAAATACAACTTAAAAACCCTTTTCAGCTACAAATGCTGGAGCTGAAGACCATTTTTACTGTTTATTTACACAAAAATGTTTGAAATATATTAGCATAAACGCAAATATCTGAGGAAAACAATCAAATACAAATACTTTACCGTGCAAGAAAAAGATTATTAATGAAGCCCATAAACTGCAGGCACATAAAAATGCATTAAAACATATCAGAAATGATCTAATCACGAGAGGTGTATGTTAAAGGATACACATCCTTCATCTGGTCAATGGTTGGTGTGCGGATGATGTCGTTGATTCCGATGATGTTCTCATGTTTGAAGCGCAGAAGGATTTTTATCTCCCTCAGGGTGCGTTGGCAGTACGTCTGGTGCTCAAAGGGGCTGATCTTCTTAATGGCCACACGTATCTTGTTGTCCCGGTCATAGGCAGAGCTGGATTATTTAAAAAGACACACAAGCCAACAATTAGACATCAATGTTGAAGGAGCAAAAGGTTTTGAAAAGGTTCTACTTCGAATGAAGTTACAATGTTACAATGACATGCAAGGTAAAAGGGAACATACTGACGGGTACATTTGTGCCCAAGGATTAGCTAATATTAAATGGCAGCCATAGCAACCCATTTCGTGGCAATAATACGCCCTGAGTGACTGTGCTTGCAGCTAAAAGTGATGCAGTGTGTGATGCAGTTATGTCCATAAATCAAAAAGGTACAGCAAAGGTTACTAAGCTTGATGACATTTTGGAGGTTTGCACAAACTGCAGTAAGCACCTGTCTCCTGTTCACCTACAACAGTTCACTGTGGCCGTTTCTTCTTTCACCATTTCCCTTTAAAAGATTTTTAAATGACTGAGATGAAATAACAAAGGAAATTAACCATATTTTAGTGTGCAGACCTAGTTTTTTTGAACAGTAACAGTCAGGTGCTAATCTCACTGACAAATGCTGCTTCCTGCCTGTGGTTTATCAGTGGAAAGCTTTTAATGTGAAGTAGTAACAGCAGGAAATGTTGGGTTTGCATTAGCAGCATCTTAACACAGCAAAAACACCTCTGATACAGTGCTGGGCGGCTGACGTGTCTGTTAGATAAAAGTAAGAACAGGAATGTAGGAGTAGAACAAAACTCTCAACCACAGAAAATGTTACTTTACACAAGAGCTACTTAAGTACGGATATCTGACTGACCAGAGCCATCAGTTTAGTATGATGACACACAGCTTAGTTGACTTCACACATCATCTGTGCTTGGTTCAGCTACAAAGCAGTTCTATAATACTGCAGGTCAGCTGATATGAGAAGATGCAGTGAAGTTGCTATGCCACTTCTTGGCACAAAGTGGCCCTAAAGTGAGCTACACCAAGCCAGAGGGAGAGAAGCAAAGAGCTTACACATCCTGATCAAGATAAGCTTACCTCATTCTGGTTTCCCACACATTTTGTGACTATACTAGCATGGTGTTTAACACAACATCAAGCTGTAGTTGTGATAACAACCGTGTGTCATACTGTGGACTGGAGCATCAATGTGTTTGTTTAAATGTAGGCAGGTAACATCCAGTAATGTATAACTGCGAACAAGAGATGCTGGACACTGTTCGTATCCCTATAGTATGCACAATTAACCCTATGCTCAAAAAAGTTAAGCAACCTCACAAAGAGACAGAAAATCGTTTAGTAAAACTCAATTGCTATTTAATAAATATTCTTCAACAATATTCCTTTCAGCGATGCCTGTGATGGAACAATTCATCTTGCTGAGTGAGTATGAATGTTAGCAGGCAGTGAGATGAAATTGAATCCAATAAAAGCATAGCATGTAGAGGAAGTGATAAAGCATGTTTGCATGCATGGGATGCCTGGGGTCTGGAAGATCTCATACTTAAGTCAGATCCTGAGAAGGGGCAATAACTTATTGCACAAAGCTTAAGAGGAATTTACCTTTCATTACACACATACTTCGCAACAGAGGCGATTCACTGTGCCCCCCCCCCCTTCAAAGCTGAGATAGGTGTCAAATATAGTGGTAAAAGAGTCAAATTAGAGCATTTGCTAATTGTGTCACTAATATTTTCATGCAGAGACGTGTTGGCCATTAGCTAAAAAAAAAAAAGAAGAAAAAAAGCACCCAGCCCTTCACAGACAACTTCAGAGTATGATCAGATGTAAAGATCAGATATTCCTTTAATAGTCCCACAATGGGGAAATTCCAAAAAACAAAACCCTAACCCTAACCAGGAAAGAAATACCAGCATTCCCTTTGGCATAAAGAGATAAAGAGTGGAGGGATGTGGTGTTAATCAGGATATTCTTTTGCCCACAGGCCTTTTCTTATAGGGATGATACTCACCACTTACTAATTTGCACCAACAAGTATTGACATGTTCAATGTCCACTACAACCTTGCGAGATGCATGCTTTTAAATTGTCATGTTGTGTCACTGTGCTGAAACTGCAGTTTTCCAGCAGCTGGCATGTTCAGGTGTGTCAGTTTGAGAGTAGGACAGGAATAAGAACAGTATCACTCAGTGGAAACTTATTATGAGGATAAAGTTATTGTAATATATCCTGTTGTCCAAATAAGCAAAATGTAATAAACTAACAGAAAGGAGTCACTGATCTACATGTGTGAAAATGTCTGACTGGTTGTCTGAGAGTGTCTACACCCAGCAGACTAATTGTTCAATTCCGCTCTAAAATCTTGGCCGTGCCTGTGATGAGACACCTCCTCCACGCCATTCCAGGTACAGACATGTCCACTGTTGAATTTCTGTCTCTTTTCACTGGCTTCATGGCTGTTTCACACCAACTTGGGTTTAAACCGACACATTACATGCAAACTTTAACTCCAAAAAGCGGTCACCTCCGTACTGTTTTTAAAACCAATGAAATGGGAATAAAATGTCGTCTGGGTGTTGCCTTCAAGTGCTGTGACTAATACATTCATATGATTTTAGTTCATTTTAGGGTTTTGTGTCTTGATCACCGAGGGACATTGAGGTTTTGATGTAATGTCAGAAATTCAGTCCACCTATTTTGAAGTCTGTCACAAAGAACGACAATTTATATTTGGCTGGGTTAGAAAACTGGCCAGACATCGTCAGTGCAACTCCAACTACTGCCAAGAAATGCAAATTACTGCTGCCAGCTTCCAAGATTTTTTTGGTTTCTAAGTCATCTGGTCTCAAACTGTTGCAACCTACAGCCATTTGGTGCAATCATAAAACCAAAATTGCCCCATAAAGCCGTACTTCAAGATAACATTGATACATCTTTCAATATTAATGGTTTCCTTAAGCTCTTAAGCTTCATCATTTACATCTAGCCAAGAGCAATTTTATTTCTGCACATTACAAACAACCGAAATGACTTAAAAACACCCACATAGTATGACAAAATAAGAAAATAAGTTGCTATAGTGATGGGGGTGTAGGGATTGAAATGTAAACACAAGTGTGTCCGCCTTCTGCAAGGGAAATATGAGTGACCTTCCTTTCCACTGTGAGAGGAATATGTGTGTGTGTGGGAGGAAATAGTTTTCCATGTAACTGTTCTACACCAGAAGACACCCTCATGTACAGAGACGCAGGGAGCTACAAGACTTATTCATCAAAGCTAACATCTGATCCAGGGCAGAGCCAGTTTGGCACAGATATATCTTCAGATTGTTTTTAGAACAGTCAATGGTACAGCCTCCACCACTTTGTCAAAATATTGTCTCAGGCATGATGTAAACTCACAAGCAGACTGTCTTTGCAAAACTATGCCATCTCCAACTATATGGACAATTATTTATGCATAATTTTTAATGGTTACGGATAAACTAGGTGCGTAATTTGTAGGACTGAAACCTTCTGGACGGCGATTTAGATGTTTTATAAAGAGAAAAGCACTTCTTAATCCATTATTTTCAAGGGCAGGAGGGACATACACAGACCAAATGTATTATTATATTGAGTCGTAGGCTACATTGTTAGATAACACCGATTATAAATGACACTAATATTCAAATATATTTTACTCAGCAAATGTGGTTCTGTTTTAGTAATCATATGGTTTAATAGACAAGTCAGGAAGTCAGAGCAACCATGTTTTCACAACTTCAACTGGCAGCCTTGAGACTGCAGGGCTTCATTTATTGAACATTTACTCAACTCCAAACTAATTTACACAATTCCTCTGATGCCTAAAACATGGTATTGTCAATTGTATGAGTATGCATGTCTGCACAGCGATCTGATACCACGTTAACGAATTAGCTCTGAAATTCAACAAATTAAATGGCAATCAACAAATGGGAAATTCTTGATGGTCAGCAGATTAACTGACAATAAAAATGGTATGTACTTCAAGACCTAGTTTAGTAATTTAATGGAGGGTTTGCTGCCTTGTTTTCCTTCACAGTTAATAAAAAATATGTTTGTGGTTTATGACTGCTGGTGGGACAAAAACAAGCAACCTGAAGATACAACTCAGTGCTCGGAGGAAATTGTGGCTTTTTATTTTTACATTTTTACTACTGCTGATCATTATCATCATCATCGCTATATGAACATGCACGATGAATATATTGTAGTAGACTGAAACGTGATGAATAAGCGAAGAGAATGAAGTGAAAATATCTTGAAAATTACACAAGCTGACAACAACTACGCTCATTACTGGAAATAAGTCAATCATTTTGTTTTTAAATGCACTAAACCTGTTGCCTCCAGTCTTTAAATGTATACGGCACTCTGTCACATCAGTTGGATGTGACGTTACCAAAAAGTTCAGTGCAGAGAGAAGTTGAGGACAATCTTAGTCCACACTACATTTCACCATGTTTACTGAGGCAAGCCCATCCGTTCCTTGTCAGTTTGCCCAGGCGTGTAAGTAACAGAGGGAACTTTTGAGGAAGTACAAAGTACACAAGAGTTAAATGCATTCAGTATTAATATGCTTCAGTGTACTGGTGAGTCTTGAGCTGCTCAGCCTTATCACTGAAGGACAGACTTTCATTTCTGAGAACTCTTTAACTCTAATTTTTGGATGGTTTTTCATTTTTTTCTGATCTGACTTTGTAACGTCTGGTGGGGAGGAGACCAAAACTGGCTCAATGTTCACAGCCAGCTGATTGTGGCACCTGTCAAACACAGCTGACTGTGATTCCTCACGGTAAAAACATTGGCAAAGCACTTCTTATAGGTCGATTCAATAGGAGGCTGCACATTAACTGTTGCTGAGTTGCTAAAGGAAGAGCTAATTGGATCTTTTAAGCCATTTATGCTTGAATGCTTAAAACTGATTCCAGCTTCACCAGTATGAATACTGTAAGGTTTCTTTATGTCTACTTGAGCTTTTGGAAGGACTTTTTTTTTTTTTTTTTTTTTTTTTACTATTTTCTGACATTTTAATGAGGCAATGATAAACTGATTAATCACCTAAATAATTGG